TCATTGCCGATGGTTTTTCATACATGTTTGATAGTGCCTTTAACAGACCTGACGTAGTCTTCTCCTTCACGACGTTGAACGCCACGTTTCTTAACAAAGTCAACCGGATCAACCCTAGAGCCTGGTGATCCTTAAGGTTCCACTTCTCCTCCGTCATGGATTCCGTCTTCACCCCGGTCAATGATTCGTGAAGATCTTTCTGGTACATATAATCTTTGATCTGCATCTTCCAGAAACTGAAATCGGATCCATCAAACTTCTCGATTCCAAGCTTTGAACTATCCATCTTCAGTGATCGTGTTGAATCTTCTTAGCTCTGGTACCAGTTGTTAAGATCGAATTCACACACACACACACTTGATGAATGAAGAACACAAGAACTTTCAAGAGAAAGAGATGAGAGATCTAGAGAGAGAAAGAGAAAACTCAATATTTTGTGGTAACATCCCGCGAGTAAACTTCCACGGCGTTGAGGTATATGTATATTAATAAATCAGAGTATTTTTTGTTATAAAGAATAAATAGTAAAGCCTAAACCGTGTAAATAGTTATATATATATTAATCAGGCTCCACAACTTAACACCACAACCTCAAAAGATTCAAGGAGCAGAAGGAGCAAATGGAAGGGAAGAAAATCAAAGAAAACTGAAGAGGGAAACCAAAAACAGAATGGTTAGCATGATCGTGATCAACAACAGTCGTCCAATGGGAAGGTGAGATTTGAAGATAAGTCTCATATCGGATGTTATAGATTTCATAGGTATGGCATTATCGTTCTGAATGTAGTACAAATCTAAAAAATGTACGTAGGGAGAACTCTAATTTTGTAGAAGTAACTGAGGAGGAGGAGGTCTCTTTGTTAATGGTGAGTCGATCCTCAGAACAATACCACAAAAGTTTATGGTATTTAGACATGGTTGTAGCAGCAATTTGACTGGAAAGGGAAGGTGAAACTCCAAACAAAGTATTCATCTATGCAGATTATCTCTGATGTTTTCTTTGCACATAACTGAAAACAAACCTTATTAGTGTGGGTTAACTTCAAGAGAACGGCTACGAGGTGTCTATCAAGCATGGAATTTGCAGGATTTGAGATTCTAATCTTGCATTGATGGTTGAAGCTAAGATGACGGAAAATAAGTTTTTCCCACTTAATATACATAATATTAGCTCTACCAATTTTTGTTTTTCAATAGTTGAATAGTCAAGCATGACTTTGGCACTACAAATATGGGCATTTGAATTTTGGAGGACTGAAAATGTTGCAGCAAAAGAAGATGGTTACGGGTCTTCCTAATTTTGGTATGCTTGTAGATATTTCTGAAGATTGTGTCATTGGAAACCAATCTCGCGCTTTCCAAAAAAAAAGCATGGAGAGCAAAAAGTCAGCTAGAGTTGGTTCACTCGAATATTTGTCGACCAATAAACCCAATATCCAATAGGGGAAACGGTACTTTATAACGTTTATTTACGATTTTAGCCGAAAGACATGGGTTTATTTTCTGCAAGAAACATCTGAAGCTTTTACCATTTTCAAAAGCTTCAAAGATTCTTCGTACTAATCATGGAGGGGAGTATCTTTCACAAGGATTTATAAATTTTTGTGAGTTTCACGCGCTACAATGACAACTTACTACAGCTTATACTCCTCAACAAAATGGAGTATGTAAGAGGAAGAATTGAACAATCATGAACGTTGTGCGAAGCCTTTTACAAAAGAGTCATGTTCCAAAAGTTTTTTGGCCTGAAGCAGTCTGCTGGAGCGTTTATGTGTTGAATTGAAGTCCTTCTCGTTATGTTCAAAATATGACACCAGAAGAAGCTTGGAGTGGACAACAACCAGATGTTCAACACTTGAGAGTGTTTGGGTGCATTGCAGTTGCTCATGTTATGGATCAAAAAAGGACAAAGCTTGATGAAATAACCAATAAGTTTGTTTTTATAGCAGGAAGTCGAAAGCTTATAAGTTGTACAATTCTATCAGTAAGATAACGATTATCAATCGTGATGTGGTGTTTGATGAAGATAATTTCTGGTTGTGGGAAGAAAAGCCAAACAACCAACAACTTCCGTTGGATCTTGATGATGGAGATATGGAGCAAGAGCAACCACTAGCCGATGAAGGTGTTTCTACCTTAGTACATCAAGAAGGCACCAGCTTCCGACCTCAACGTAATCGAAGAAGGCCAACATGGATGGCAGATTATGAGGTGAGTGGAAACGTTGAATATGAAAATAAAAAATTCATCTAGATATTTAGCTTTATTTTCTTGTTGTGATCCCGTAAGATTTGAGGATGCCTATAAAAATGTAAAGTGGAAAAAAGAAATGGATGTTGAGATTGCCGCAATTGAAAAGAACAATACGTGGGAACTTGCGGATCTTCCAAAAGGCCAAAGATCGATTGAAGGTAAATGGATTTATAAAACCAAACTCAATGAGTCTGGTGAAGTTGATAAGTACAAGGCACGCTAGGTGGTGAAAGGATACAAGCAAGAGTATGGTGTGGATTACAAGGAGATCTTTGGCCCGATAGTCAAACTTGATACCATCCGATGTGTGTTGGCAGCTCAAAACAATTGGACGATTTATCAACTTGATGTAAAATCAGCCTTTCTGAATGGAAATCTACAAGATCAGGTATATGTTGATCAACCTCCTTGTTTTTTGATGCATAAAAGTGAGCATAATGTTTACAGATTAAAAAAGGCTATGTATGGGCTAAAACAAGCTCCCCGATCTTGGTACAGTCGCATTGATGCATACTTTAATCTAGAAAACTTTAGAAAATGCCCATATGAGCATACACTTTATAACTTGTGATTGTATGCTTATATGTAGATGATTTGATTTATGCTGGGAGTGATCCCATATTTCTTGAAAAATTTAAGGTATCCATGATGACTAAGTTTGATATGTCTGATCTTGGCTTGATGCATTACTTTCTAGGAATTGAAGTAAAGCAATCAAGTAGTGAATTTTTTTTTCACAAAAGAAATATGTCCGAGAAACATTACAGAGGTTTGGAATGTAGAGTTGCAATTCTGTCACGACACAAACAAAGTTGGGACTGATGTTGGAAAAGAATCCTATAGGAAAGAAGATTGAAAACACTCTTACAAACAACTCGTGGGATGTTTGATGTATCTAACAGTCATCAGGCCAGACATAATGTATTTTATTAATCTTGTTAGCAGGTACATGGAGCACTCAAGAGAGATTTATTTGTTGGCTGCTAAAAGAATTGTCCAGTATTTGCAAGGTACCATTGACTATGGAATTCAATAAAAGAAAGAAGGCAAGTCGGAGTTAATTGTCTTCACAGATAGTGATTTTGCTGGAGATAAAGAAGACAGGAAAAGCACTTCAGGTTATGTGTTTATGCTTGGATTTGGAGTTGTTTCTTGGTGCTCCAAGAAGCAACCAATTGTTACATTGTCCACTACAGAAGTAGAGTTTGTAGCGCAACTGTGTGTGCTACCCAAGCGATTCGGTTGAAGAAGATATTGGTTGAGCTTCATGTTCGACAACAAGAACCAATTCTTATTTACTGCGGTAATGGCTTAGTGATAAAGCTTTCAAAGAATACAGTGTTGCATGGACGGAGCAAACACATAGATGTTAAATTTCACTTCCTGAGAGATCTCATGAAGGAGAAAGTTATTGACGTTGTCTATTGTAGAAGTGAAGACCAAGTTGCTGATATCTTCACTAAGTCCCTCAAGCTGACAACATTCAGAAAGTTAAGGAAGCTACTTGGAGTTTGCACTTTAAGAGAAAGCTACTGTGAAAATGTTATTAAGCTGAAGTCGTAGACTTATCAATTTAAGGGAAGGTTTGTTAGACATTTTAATTAATCAAGTTTCTTCTTTCCTAGTTTTAAGGGTATATGGTTGCTATTTCCAAGTTACCACCTCCCAAACTCTTTTGCGTTTATTTTAATTTACTTTCCAGTTTTCTAATAAGTTATTTTTAATGTTTGGTGCACTTATGCTTTTAATGATTTTTATTGTGTTAGTTGTTAAATTTTCATAGTAAAAAGTGGGACTTTGCTTTTATGCTAAGGAACCATGGTTCCCAACTAAAATATGCTATAATTTTGTCTATTTACTCTTTTTCATTTGCTTATCTTCTAATACTTGAATATTTGTTAAACATAACGAAAATTGGTAAGGCTAATAATTGATCGCTTTAGAAACTACAATAAGCTAATACTAAAAGTAAAAATTTGTTTAGGAATATGGGTGTGGGAGGCTGAGCGAGGACCAATGAGTACACATTTTAAATCCTTTATTTATATGATTTTGAACAAGGCCCCAAGCTAACTGAGGTCCACCAAATTCAGCTACTACAACATGCTTCTTCCAGTGAAATCAATATTTAAAACAACCAATATTATTATCAAAAATATCAAAATTTCATCTCAAGTTGGATCTCCTGCATATAAGACACCATTTTACATTTAATGCATTTACATTACATCAAAAACATAAAGTGTCTATAAATTCATCGTTGATTGATGTCATTTATAACAATTTCACTGTTATGAAGAAAATAACACAAAATGATATACTTATATAATCTAATGCTAAAAATTAGTGAAAAGCTAATTTGGTGACGCTATTTTAGGGATTTACAGTGACCTTTGTCGTTGTAAGGGTCCAGTTTCTTGTAGAGAATCCTAGTTGACAAGACTTATATGGATGCACTACTCCACGTGGCTTGCTATATCATTAATAAATTGAATTGTTAACTTTTAAGGGTGTTTGTGGTCTCGTTAGATAACACGGAGATATTTTTTATTTCAAAATATGATTAAGAATATAATTAAATAATTTATTCGCACGGTTCATAGACCATTATCCATAGAATATTTAGAAAATTATTCATATATTTAGAATCTACAAAAAAGAAATATTATTAAAAATTTTCTTATTCGATCCTCAAACTTCATGTTATATCATATAATTGAAACATAAAACAAACTCCAAAACGCATGTTTGAGATTAACTAAATGTAATGGATCACGTCCAATATATTCAAGAACTAGAACAATGATCTTGCAAGGCCATAGGCTCAAGCAAGTCTAATGTCATTTTTTTAAAAAAAATACTCCTATAATATACGACTATAATTTTAATGTTCTACGTAAATATAAATTTAAATACTTATAATTTTATTCAAATTTGTAAGCAGCTAGTAGGTTGTTGTAGACCAGAAGCCATTCCTCCAGCATTAACACATGAAGCTTCAGATGGATGATCCTTATAACTTAGTTTAACATCCAATAATTTTATTCCATTACATGGATTTGTTTTGCTACAATCGAATTTTACTGCAACTTCTGTAGCTGATGTTCCATGTACGTCTTCATATGTTATATCACTAACCTTGATGCCTGAACCCTGAAACGAAACAATAATAATTAGGGATATTATATTGTTTGTTAGCTGGTAAGAGTTATGCACGTATATTACCTGCTCAGGACAATTTCCACTATTAGGGCAGTAATTTTGATCAATGATGATGGGATTTTGGACATTATTCATGACTACATGTTGAAAAAGTACATTCCTAACAAAGCCATTGCTAGGCCTAGCCCATGTTTTGACTCTCACACCATTCTCAGTCCCAGTAAATGATGATGTTTTAACTGTCACATTTTGTACTCCTGCCTCTTGCATCTCCCAACCTAAGCTCCCAATGCTACACCAATCCAAAATATTAATTAGTTGAATTTTATATAAAAAAAAAACATTCATAATTAAATTCATTTCTAGCTAGCAAGTGATTTTATACTTACTACTAAAAAATCACTATTTTAAAAAATATTTAATGGTTATTTTTACTGATATTTTGATTAAAACGGTGAAAAAAGAAAAAATAGCAATGTTTTCATACAAAAAAGTTAGGAAGTTTCCAGTATTTTATTGAGAATTTGTTATCCACATATGTTTTCGTAATGAATTGATTTAAGTGAGATATAAGTGAAAAAATCATTTTCTATAGCATAAATTTACGATAAAACATTTGTGAGTACACACTTCCTTTTATAGTCTATCCAAATTTTTTTGGTCTCATTTCAATAATTGAAAAAAACTTTGATACTGTAAAATTCTGTTTTCGTCCTTAATGGAATGTTTTTATATAAGGTTTGTTTTGGAGATCCTTTTTTAATTAAAGTTTGAATCTACTTAAATAATGTCACATAAATTGAGACAGACCTTATTCCATGGCCGGGACCACAAGCAATGTTTTCAAACCACAAGTTGGAGTTTCCAGGACCAATTGAGATACAATCATCACCAGTCCCAATTTGAGAATTCAAGATAGTAACATCAGAAGATGATTGTAAATGAATTCCATCAGTGTTTGGACTATTTCCAGGTGCTGAAATCTTCACTCCTTGTAACTTTGCATTATGACATCCATCTAACAAAATGTGGAACATTTGACTGTCTTTTGAAGTCAATCCACTTATTGTAATGTCATTTGAATTGTAAAAAGCTAACGTCTGCACAAATCAAATATATTCAGAGGTGAATTCAGAATTTAACGTTATACCAATTCAATAGATCATACCGTGGCTCCTTTGGGACAACCTTTGCCAGAGTTTTTGCACGTCCAAAGACGCGTACCTTGTCCATCTAGTGTTCCACCAACGATGGAAACTCCATTGACTCGTTCAAATTTAATCCAGTTACCAGATTTACCAATAACGTTATAATCAGAAGGAGCTATAAGTGTGCCTTCAATATGTATCGTTATGTCATTACTCTTGCACGATTGGCCAAAGAAATATACATTGTTCAATAGATAACTTCCCTTTGGGACGTAAATAGTGGCCGCGCTAGTAGATGCACACGCTGCAGTCCATGCACTAACGAACGCGTTGGATGAATCCGATTTTCCATCGGAGTTGGCTCCATAAGTTTGGACATTGTACATGGAATTTGCAGCTGAAGATGAATTGAATAATAAAAAGATGATTATGTTTGTGAGAATAAGTGGGAAAAGAATAATGTAACTCATTTTTGTTTTTTTCTATAATGTGGTGAGGAAATGGAATAGTTGAAAAAGGGTATTTATAGGGGAAATCATAGAGAAAATTATGCCATAATTGAGTCAATTTTACTGTTTTTTTCTTTCTTTATAACTAACAAACAGAAAACACATGGTATATTTTCCAACTTTATTTTTTTCTTCTTCTAATATTTCTCTTTTTTCATCATCCAAGGGGGTGAGGGTATGGGTCTATGGGTATGGGGGGGGGGGTGAGTTTAATATTAATGTCAATGTATATGGTAAAAAAATATATATAGTATTTTATATGAAGTGTTTAAGATCTGTCACAAGAATAAATGATATTTTGACAGTATTTACAAAATTTAAAAGTCTAATTTGTTTTCTATAATTAACTCTATGAAGTCATATCATAAAATCAAATTGAAATAAAAGGAGTAATGACAAAATATAAGATGCATGACTTCATATATAAAATTATCACTTAACCATGTTTAATATCTGCTCCTTGTGTTTCAATTTGTTTCACCTACTTTTCTTTTTAGCCCTTTTAGAAAAAAAATGAGTATTTTCCTTTTTAGTAACTTATTAATTCTAACGTTTCACGTAATATTTAAGATTACGAGATCTCAAAAGACTTTATTATTTTATAAAATTCGTATCAAATCAAAATAGATCAAACAAATCAAAACTGATCAAAAAATACTTCTTTCACCCTTTATGGTTTGATTATTCAGGCCAATTAAATTAGTTGATTTTCCAAGCACTGAATTGAAATGAACACAAAATTTACCTTTCTGTTGCATGAATTTTTATTTTTTATTTTTTGGTACAAACTTATGTTTATTTGGTCAGATATAGGAATAGAAAATATACAAACATTATATGCATCACATGGAAAAAGATTTTGCCAATCGTTGGCTAGCTCCCTATTTTAAGGAGATATATAATAGAAAAAAGGTTCTCAAATACATCCCCATTTATTATTGGGATTCGTGTCCTAATTAATTTTTCTGATTTAGTAAAATTTCACTAATATATTGTTATTGTATTCTAATTAACCTTTTAAAAAGCATCCAAATATCCTTTCGAAATAGAAAACACAACTGTCCAAATATTAAATTACCAAGATATATATGGAACATGCATAGAAAATGCTTTTTGTTTTTTTTTTTTAATCGAAAGGTGGCAAAGGTAAGGTCTTAGATTTAGCTATCTCTAAATAAAGGTTACATTTTTTAGAGAGTGGTCATCAATTCAGTTAAATATTTGTATACATTTATCAATATGAAAAAATTACCATACATTTAAAAGACATCTTGTTCAAAATAATTTTAAGTTGTATTTATAGATTGAGAATTCACTTTAGAAATTACCATACATTCTTATCCAAAATGATTAATAGGAATATGTATGCATAAATAAAAGAAGTTGATGATTATGTTTGTTGTTGTATACTTTCCGATTAAATTATTGTTTAACTATAATTATGTATCTTTATATCGGTTTGATAGTGGGTTATATGAATGAATTGAAATTGCCTCTATATTGGTGGTTTCTTATTTGGTTGGGTTGGATTATCTTATGGGTGGTTATCGTTATTATATCTCTAGTTAATTGACTTTCATAGTGGACTCTCGTAGGAATGAAGCGTACATTCCACTTGAAATAGGTTCTTTACTTCATTTAATTTATCCCTTCTTTAGTTGTTTGTACTGTACCTTCCTTACTTGTTGTTTATATATTTTTTAAAATCTTTGAAACTCGGTTGGTTTATGCCTAAGTACTGCTTGTTGGTACTTATACACCCTACACATCATATTATGAATTCTCGCCACGTCTTACGGATGAGTAGCTTTATGATTCAGAGATTGGGGTGAGTTTCTGACGTTTGGAGTTGTAAAAATTTCCCTCAGTTTTGACTAGGAATAGTAATTATTTATGGATTCTTCTTATAATTGAATTTTGCTTTTTTCTAAAAGAAAAGTATAAAGTTTCTTTATATTTTGTCCTCTCATATTTATTTAGTAAAATTGTTTATCTCTTCTGAGGGTGTAGCTCGGTTGATCCTAGATCACGTTAAACATTTATGTCCTTTGATATATTTCTCGTTTTTCTTTTTACTCATGATCTTTCTAGGTTTGTTTTGCTAGCTTCCGCACTTATTCCGTGTCTTTATGAGTCATCAAAAGTTACTACACCCAACAAAGTTGATTCTTTTATCCATGACCTTTACTTTGACTTATAACCGATTTGAGTTCATATTATAGGTTTTATATATATGATTCACTCAATGAGGGAGTCGTTGTTAGGTGTCAATTATGACGATTTAGGGAAATTTGGGTCCTAAAACAATGATCGTTGTATTACTAATTCATGGTATACTAACACCTATATTGCAATTCAATATTACAAATTAATCTCCATATTATTAATTAATTCCATAGTTTTGAACCATATGATCCCTTAAGTAACAATATGTTGTGTTTTCTTGAGGTTTAAAAGTGTCCACATTTTTCCTTTCATCACCCATTTTAGTTTGGTCAACAGCCAATCAGATGACAACTCTTGATATGTTCAAGGAAGACATGTTCCTTGCTCGAGACTTTCTTGGTTTTTAAGTTGCAAATTTCTGTTATTTGCAAGTGTGGATGTAATTTTTAATTTAGAAAACATATCCCTCAATATTTGTTTCCCTTTTCATTTTTATAAAACTTTTCCACTTTAAAATATTTTGTCGGGAAGTATTTAAAACACTTATTTATTTGAATAATTAAACTTAGATATATCCTCAGTACACTACAACAAGAATTAGCGACATTTAATTCTTAATTAGTGTTAAATATATATTTTTAGCGGTAATTGTTACTCTTTGTATACGTTCCTAAAGCTTTTAGCGACATTGATTCTAATGACACTTAACTAATGCCGGTAAATAATTTAACACTCTTTATTAGTGTCAATATTTAATTCTGCTAAAAATTATTTTTGTTGTAGTGGTACAACCCTGAACTGCCACATGATATAACAAATAGTTTTAAACTCTTGTAGAAGCATGAGACTCTTAATTAACAGAAATATGAGAGAAGCGTTAAAAACAACCCTAAACATAACGAGAATTTAGAGTTGTATTCCACTTATTTTGCTAGATCAGTGGTGTATTTAAGTTTGAATAATCAACTAGATGAATATTTTTAAAATTCTCAATAATAGCTATTAATTTACGTCAAATTAAACAGTATTTTGATACTTCTCTATTTTGTTGGAGTTGGACAATCAATATACTCAAGGGACGCCAACATTATTTTCTATATATATATATGTATTATTACTCAACTTGTTTCATTAGTATTGGCCCCTTAGCAGCCAAATACACACACACACACACATATATATATATATATATTGGAAACATTTACAACCTACAAGTACGTTATACGTTATGTAAGAATAAAAGTAAGACTCTCAAACTAACTTTTTTCTTATGTAGGAATTAGAATATTATTTAACAAATGTTCGAAAAATTGGCTTCACATCGTTACATGGGGAAAAGAGTGGGGGCCACAAAAATTATACTCATCTTTTTATCTCGACAATCGATATTTAAATCAAATTAAATAATACTATCATAACAATTAAAATAGTAAAATTAAAACACATCATTTAATCAAATAAGTTGATTTTATATCTATATGCATGTATATGTGTATGTATATATATATATATGTATAAATTAAAAATATATATCTTCAATTAAGTTATTTGACGTAAATATAGGTATATTTAGAAGTGATTTTGTCGGTTCACGTGAATTCATGCTTCCTCTCTAGATCATACATAGTAGTGTACAAAGGTGTAAACACACATTAAAAAAAACATATAATAATATGATGATAATTGGGTGCACCTCTCTAAGCAAAGATAGAAATTTAAATCTTATCTCTATATTATTTTTTTAGTAACATTCTCTAAATGATAACCTGTAACACTTTTGGCATTTCAATCATTTTTTTTCTCTTTTTTTTTGCCACTCTTTCAAAGTTTTTAAGTGTGTTACATTGAAAATACCTAAAAACAAAAATAACACTGAATTTTTTTATATAATTAAATAAAATATATATACTAAAATTTAAAGCTAATAGTAGTATTATATATGTTAGACCTATAATTTTTAAATTTAACGATTTAGTGTCGAAAACATAAAGTTCAAATCAATTAAATTTATACTTTAAATGCATTCTTTCTTAATAGTATCCGTGTAAAATACTAAATAACTTTTAGCATCATCATATGACTTGCTGTTGTAGCTAGGATATTAGAAAAAGTTGTGTGCCTAATTTAAGCCATTATTTACGCAGGGCATGATGAGAATATCACGAGGAAATTAAATGTTTATATACTATTGAAGGTTTGATTTTATTACTTACAGAATTTCCTAACATTTTGCAACTTTAACTACCTTCATTCTTCTACTAGACGTCTTAATAACGTCATTATGACCCAACAAACGGTTGAGTTAATTTACTAAAGTATCTTAATTTCGTTCATCTTTTAAAATAAAATAAATAAGCAAACAAAAGATATGATCCTCAAAATAAACAATTACTGATTTCTATGCGTTATCCAAAGCTTCATATGACTTTGAGATTACACTATCGACAATATCCATCTAACACTCAATTAATTCATGAAATAAATTTTAATTGAGGATGTGGGCCGCTATCTTCATTTAAATAAGGGAAAATTGTATATAATAGCAAACTAATAACTTAAATTAAATAGAATAGCTAGGGTTTGATTTAATTGTGCTCCATAGCAAACATTGGCAAAAATTTGCCAGGCGTCTCTCTCCCAGAAGTCTCGCTCGCCACTCTCCCATTCTCGCCTCTCTCGCTTTATACACAGAAGTGTATAATTTCTGTTTCTGTTTTGTATAAAGTGAGAGAAAATTATATATACACATGCAAAAATGTATATCTTCGTGTTATACACTTAATTATATGATTTACAAACATT